GTTTTTCTTCAATACAACTTCTATACAACGTAAGAACATCGTGACTATACAAAAGGCCACACTATCCTGGTCTTTTTACCTTAGTAGTATTAACCCTACTCTATTGATATCGATGCTTGGTGGCTTATTTATCATAACTAGACATGCCTCTAAAAGCTCTCTCTCGTTTTTTGAAGTAGCTCACAATTACTTGAGATATTTTTAAAATATAGTTAATGTATCTATACTGTAGCTAACTGCTAACCAACCGTTATATTTACTTTAGGTTCTAACTTTTTTAGATCAAATTCTACTCCGATCGAATCAAGTGGACCCATACTGAAATTAAGCACTCTGATCTTCTTCGTTCAACTCCTCACCAAAGCTTCCGTCCCTTTGATAAGAGACGAACAGACATTTCATGATATCTCTCCTAAGCTCGATCCGGTCCGACCACATCCGCTTCATCATTTGGTTGACTATCTCCTGCACTGTGTACGTATCTTTATAATCCAGCAAACTACTTTACCAGTCGGGTCTGGTCAAACTGTCTCTGATTCTGACCGACCTGGCCTTCTTACTGACCCTTTCACCCCGAGTCCTGCCTCTGCAGCAGTGCCCATTAGCACTGGACCAACTGGTATTGAGGAGCCGTCTGCCTTATCATCACATTCTCCGGCTACTGAGTTGGCCATACCCCCTATGGTTTCTGGATATTTTTCCCCTAACGGCTTTTACTTGGGACCAGACTTTCGTCTTACCTGGTGGGCCTATCTGACTCCTGGCCTTCTTGGGGGCGACTTGGATGCAGTTGCAGTCGTCAACAATAGTGGGGCACTGAGCGGACGTCAGCGCATTGGATGTACCGTTGGGGAGTCTTCTGGTAGGCCTGGCATGCTTAGCAAGCTAGAGGATATCCTTCCTTTGAGTGCTGATGTGCGTACTGGTGCAGCTTCTGGAGTAACGACCGCCGGGCTAAAACTAATGCACCCATTGGCGCATACATCTTCTTGGGCCCGATGTCCTTCAGTTGCCGGGAAGGTATATACGTACTTTTATTACTTCCTTACTTTTTAACTTAAGCGATTTATGACTGAACAGATTAGATTTTTTAAAATCTATTTTCTTTTAATGATTTAAATCAGTGCGCTTAATCAAGGCAGCAGTGATTTTATAAATGTGGGTTTTACTGGTTGAAAAAAATGCTTCTTAAAATAGCCGTTTTTGTTCTGATTTAGAAATACCCAAAAGTGATACAGTATTTCATTTAGTCTAATTATCTGTATCTTTTAGTGTATTTTAAGCACCATAATATATTCTGAAAAAAATTTTTCTTTAATTCTTTTGATTTATGATGAGAATCTGGGTTTCGAAGAATCCCTTAGTTCAGTGATTCCGAAATTATGCGCCGCGGCCTCTTTGCAGGGGCGCCACAAAATATTGTAAAGGCTTCAATTTGTGAAAATGTGTAGTGATTTGGAGGCTCATCCAGCACATTAATTATTAAATATTAATACAATGTTACTAAAGTTAAAAAAATAATAAAGATACACGAGTTTTATTTTTTTTATCTCTTACGAATAGTCAGTTAGTGTAGGGCGCCATGGAAAATTTTAATTGAAAAAAGGCGCCGCGACTAGGAAAAGTTTTGGAACCACTGCCCTAGTGGACTGATACTAGCATACCTTTTATTTCGTTTGAAAAGGCGGGTGGAAGAGATACGTAAATTGGCCTTGGGCTTGTAACTGTTGGATTGTGCGAAGAAGACCTTGGCTCACCATCCTGCGACCCCGATGACTCTGTGTTGAACGGACGGACATCGTCAGAGCCAGAAACCATTATTTACGAACAATCAGAAAAATACTAAACCAAGGAAGGTGGCCGACTAAAATTCTACTTCTTACACCTCAATTTGCGATCTTGATGAGACATTCCATGATTTGATTGGCTGCCTTATGCTTGCCCTACATGGATGCATAAGAACGAATCTAATGTAGGAAAGAGAGCGTATGTAGTCGCAGCTTTTCTATATGCAGATAAACTACCGTATAATCCAGTAATCCTGAGGCTTGTTTTAGCTTTATGAATGCATATGCAATGCTCACGAATAGTAGGAAAGTTTGGGCCCCAAACCAGACTCTAAGCTAGTAAAGTCTTCCCTTACTTGGTGGTTCTTCCTGTTTCTTCTCTTTCTCTCTTATTCTCTAATTTTATCTAGTGGCCAGAGCTAAATTTTTCTTAGTTCCTTACACTCGTTCCTCTTATTCAGGATATTCTTTGTTTTGTTAATTTTAATCGACTTTCTGATCTTCTTCTTAGCTGTGAAGTCCCCATATAAGCAAAACGTTGCGTTTTAGACCACTATCTGGTGTCCTGTGGTGATCATATGTTCAACAATCTCCGATTTCTGAATCGATAAACCTTTGCAAGCAGTTTTGTATTCTGACAACCACTTATTTATGGGTCGAAAAGTTTCCCCCACATACACTACCATATGAGCACTAAACTTTATAACAACCTAACCTGCAAAACTGAGGAAAATTTTAGCATTTCTTTATACATGTTCCGTCAATATTTTTTCTTTCTTTATTATATTTTTGATCTCTTTCGTGAAGTATGTATTCCTGCTCTGATAATGTCTTTCTCCGTACAGATGAAAGCTTAGCACAGTTTCATCCCGGTCGCAGGACGGTGAGCCAATGTGACTTCTTAACACAATTCAACAGTTTCCTACGTGGCAGTCCGGTTTTCTGCTGGCATCATATCACGAATTCCTTTTAACCAACTTTTTACTCGAAATTGAATGCAGTCTCACAATATATCTCCAAGGAATTCTTCGAACCTAGTTTTTCTTTATATTTTTTAACTATTTCCCATTGTTTCGTTCTCTTGCATTTAGTTTCGATCCTGTTAACTTAACTCTAATGCTATTCGAGTTATAACAACCAATGATAATTAGCCTGTAATTTCTTTTCGCTTTTTGTTTTTCTTTCTCACTCAGGTGCCAGCTAGCCTTTCTGTTAACCTATTTGCTGTCCTCCTCAACCTTTGTCTGAGCCCTATCAGCTCTAGCAGTGTTGACAGTGGGGCCTGGCGTATTGATTGGCGCCTACTTTTGGGCGACTCATTGTGGTCATTAGGTCGCTACTCGGACGCACTCGCCGCTTATCTAGAGGCTGGATTGGCCTCTACAGCTGGGTTCGTCAGACCCGTCCATCCAGTCAGCATATACTCAGGCACAGTTAGTTTGAATTCTGCTATAAGCTTATGATTTTAAAAGTTGGTTTTACTTCGTTCTCGCAACTTGGGCAGAGCATCAGGGAGACCTTGTGGGACGTACCTAGTCATGCGTCCTCTGTTAAAGTATTCGTGATTTCCAGCATTTAACCATTGACTTAGTTCATTTCAAAACGTTTCGCGGCACCATTTTAAGCACAGAGTTGTCAAAGTGACAAGTGAAGACAATCACCTTGATCAATTTTCTGTTTAACCGTTGTGGCATCACTCCTCGCCCCTATTTTTCATCCTATCTTTTAGTTTCGTATCTCTTCTTCTTAGCCCCACTTCGTATGACCCATTTACCCATTTACACAATTCTGTGCTCTCGTTTCTCTCAATGTTGTCTAAGAATGTGCCGCTATAAGTGGATTTAGTGAGACAATCATCCTCACCACCGGTTTGGGACGTCGTTTGCAGGGCTTCTGACTTTCATTCAGCCCCAAGTTCACCCCGCTTGTCAATTGATCGCTGCTTCACATTAAGATCATTGTCTGGCCGTTTGAAAATCTACCACTTCGCTTTTCTACTCTTAAATGACGTAAAAGACACTCTTGGTTCCCATCTAATGCAAGAATTGTAAGTGCTGTAAATAAAAAATACATCGGAGAGATGCAATGTTGGGGGAGATGAGAAAGAGGATGACTGGGTGATGGGTCTGACGTCTAGAGAGAGCATCACCGACACTTCCCTGGCTCTAAATCCTCGAATATGACATAAAAGAGGAAATTATATTCGTAAGTAAGTAGGGTTTCGAGACTACAAGTAAATCAGTGTAATGAGATGTATTCACCCTATTTCGTCTAAGGTGATGAAGGAATGGTAGAAGAATTTTCCCACAATGACATGAGTTGAGCTGACGTTTCCATTTAATTTCACATAGCCTTGCTTTCCCAAAACTTGTTCTCATAA